CTTGCCCGCCCCAAACCTCCTACCCCCAAAAACTGCCGAGAGAGAGAGGATGAGAGCAAGTGAGCGGCGGGATCCAGAGGCTGCTTGAAACTGATGCAGCGGCACCGCCACAATATATATGTATCTCTCTGTGTGCGTGTATAGATACACAGACACATATACAGATAGACTGATAGATTAGATAGATACACATATAGATCTCTATCTGTCTTGACACGGGAGATATCTATATACATCTTCCCTGTCTGGGAGAATCTATCTATCTATCTATCTATCTATCTATCTATCTGTCTGTCTCCCCTGTCTAGGTCCTTTGCTGGGATTTAAAAAGATCAGCCCCCGGCCCCCTGCTCCTCGCCCTCCCCCCCCGAAGTCCTGGTCCCGGAGCCCGTTGTGAGCAGCCCGCGGGCCCCGGACGGACAGTCGCCGGCTGGCTGGAGATGGGCGGCGCGGTGCCGGGGGGTGTAGGTGGGAAACCCGCCGCGCGCCCGCCGGATCCTGTTGTAGATGCGGTGGCTCCCCGCGCGCCCGTGTCGGATCAGGGAGCGGGGCCCGCGAGGATTAGGAAGAGCTCCCATCGGCTCCCGTTATGCGGCAGGATTTAGAAGGCTGTGGCCAAAATCTGCCGGATCCCTCCAGATCCAGGCGCTGGATAAACTTCTGCTTCCGAAGATGTGGAAGCCTGGTGTTTTTCTGGGCACCGGTAGAGACTGCCAGGTCGGATGGCACAGCTGGGGAGTGTGGGGCTAACAGGCGCAGCGGGCTGCGGCGCTACCGCGCAGGGAGGCGCCGGGCAGGGCTGCTGCTTGGTGCCTGAGCGGCGCTTGCAAGGGGCGCGATCGGTGTGTCCGCGGGAGCCGGACCTGCCCCGGCGGGATCCTGTGTTGGTAGCAGAGAAAATGAAGTGGGAAGGAGACAGGGCTAAATCCTCCCCTGCTGTGCCTCTCCTGAAGCCGAGCGCGGATGGGGAGCAGTTGGGACCTCTGTAGCATGTTCCCTTTGGTGTTAACGGGGCTGAGCCTGGACGGCACCAGTTTTATTCCAGTTGATCCGTGGGGTTGTGCCGGGAGATCCCCGGGGATCACACGAGCGCAGGCATTAGCCACCTTGAGGCGGTCCTGGACCATCTGAATGTCAGATTTTTTTCCCGACAAGGTTTCATCCTGTGCTTTGAATCGGCGGGTCCGCAATAGCGCGTGGGGGTTCATAAAGGCTGAGCCCGGCTCCTCGAGCCCTGCCAGGCCGGGAGGGTTTGTGCGCCAGGAAAACGATCCAAGCGGTCGTGGCCGGTGCCTGGCTCTGCGTGTGCCGGCGCGGTCGGATGTGGCCGGCTCGCGTCTCCCCGTTGAAATTTCACTCTGAAATTTTCCGATGAAATATTCTGGTTCCCCCTCCGCTCTGCCCTCACTTCACTGGAGAATGCTGATCAGGCAAAATGGAAACATGATCCTTAGTCAAGTCCAGAAAGACTGTCCCAACAGAGCCAATAGAACAGGGGCTGGAGGACTCATCTGGAGATAAGGACAACTCAGGCTGAGATCCCTGCTTTGCCTGGTTCAGACCCGGCACTTAGTTCTGGGTCTCCCTCCTCCCAGAGTGCCTTAACCAGCGGTCCATTCTGGGGCACCACTGCCGAGCAGGTTGGGGAGCTGATCCACTCTGTGACTGTGCGCACACGTGCTCAGATCTCTGTTTCATGGACTTGTACCATCTCCATCCCTAACATGACTGAGAGTATTTGCGCTGCTCCCACTCAGAAGTGCCGTGCTAGACTGGACTTTAACAAGCAGTGATTGGTTCCGCAATTACTCCTGACAGGGAAGAGAGAGATGACATTTGAATTAGTTAATTGGTATTTTACTACTTTAAAGTTTCCCTTTCTCCCTTGTAAACTACATGCCATTGAACTTCTCATTTGAACATTAGAGTAAAGAGATCATATTTATTTTCATATCAATTTACATAAAAGCTTTAGGAATGCACTCTTATTCAAAAACAAATGCAGTTTTGGCTTATCTGCTGTGATGTGGGAGAACACAATTTTGCTTTTATGTGCGTATACACTTTGCTTTATAATTTGTGCATCTTTATTCCATAGCATTTGCTAAAACATGTTTACTAAATGGTAGAAATTAAATCTTTTGAAGCCATATTAGGGCATAAGCATGCAGCCCTTACCCTCAGATGACTTTCATTTATGTCAGTGGGGTTTCGGTTGTGTAAGAATGGTAGATCAGGCCCTTTAGGGTTCAGATTCTGCAGTTTCTATCAATGACATCACTGGAGGTTTGAACTACAACTCCCAACTGTGAGACATACATATGAGGCTAATGACAGAAACACAAAGGACCCTGGACCCTGTTCACTCTCAGAGCTATTAACGTGCATCTTTATTCTTTAAGTCAGCACCTGGCTAAAGCCCCAGAGTTAACAGTTGCAGAAACCTTCTAAAAGCTGAGAGAATAGCAGAACCCATTATTATGTCAGTTATGGACAATGCTGTGTAAATCTAAACGACTGCCATTGGAGTCTGGTCTTCCCAATTTCTGAGTAGAGCTGGGCAAATCATTTATATTTTTGATTCTGTGGCTAAACCAAAACAAAGTTTAACTTCATTTCTGATTGACCTCAAACATTTTTTTTCTGAAATGAAAGATTAAAAATTGTGTTTCAGTTCACACAAAGCAACTTGTTTGATTTAGCATTTTTGGTGCAGGGGGGTGTGTTATTTTAATTATATTGAGCTAAATTTAGTCTTGGAACAACCTTTCAAAATGAAAACTTAAAATATTTTATTTAAAATGTTGAAATGAAATATTCTTCATTTTTTTCAGCTGAAACTATTCACCAGATTTGTTAGGCATTTGCAAGTGATGTAAGTTGACTTGAAACTGCATTTCTTTTATTAAATAACCTATTTGATTGAAAAAATTTACCAAGTTGTAGTCCAGACTGCTGCCTAACTAGTGCTGAAACTGCTCAACTTCTGCAGGAGTTGACAAGACTAGCCGGAGACCATTACTGTTTATTGAGAGCGTGAAGGGCAACAGTCACAGTCTTTTGCTACAAACCTAGAAGTATGAGTTGGACAATTATTCTGGACTTGTACTGAAAGCCTCCCCCCATCAGACCAGATGTAAATGTGTACACTGTACATCATCATGTGGACTGGGGACTGGCTACGTGGGTTGCTAGTTATGTCATTCCCTTGTGTGACCAGTAACTGGTATGTCTTAACTATGCTAACCCGATGGGGTATTTAGGCTTAAGTAGATCATTGACCATCATTTTTCTAACCAAGGCATATAGTGCTTAATGTTTCAATGATGAACTTTCTACACATCTCTTACATAGGCAGACATAGGAGTTCTCTGTCCAAGTAGTGATAGTATGGTGATTTTTCTTTTAATAGTAGGAATTACCTTTATGGTTGATACTGCATGGCTGAGTTAACTCCATACTTCCACTGGTCTCTGAGTACAGGAAAAAACTTAGCTTGTTTGCATTTTACTAAAATACCTACCTTGTTTCTGAAGGAAAAGGAAAAAGTTTTCAGGATATATGGACATCTATGTATAAAATCATGGTGGATCTCTCTGATTTAAAATGTGATGTTGTGTGCAACTGATGTTACAGGGAAACTGGGAAAACTTTTTACTTGATGCAACAAGGAAGCCAACAAATCATGTTACATCTTGTGCTGTATAACATCTGAATTGCAACAAGCATTATAATAATTATTATGATAAACTCTAATGTAGGTGAATAATTGCATTAGCCATTGTAATATATGAAAAATATTTCAATATCTGGATATTCAAATACAATGGTTCATTCCCATTGGCTGGGGATGTGCCTCTGATGCAGGTTTGAATATGTAATTCTTCAGCCTTCAATGGCCTGGATTCTTGTCCCTTTTAAGTTAATGAATTTGCAAGAGAACCAGGACTGGACATTCAGTTATAATGAGAAATAATGGAATAGTTTCCTTTGCTGATCACCGTTACCTATTTGTTAATGTTTGTACTGTGTCAGGACTCCATGATAATAGCTGCCATACAGTCATGGGTCTAACCTCAAAGTACCTGTAATATCACTTAAAATAAGATATAATAAATATGTGGACCAGACAATAGAAGAGTATGATGATGGAGGCTAAGTATGATGATAAGATCATGTCGTTATGTAGGATAGTCATGGATTCAGCTTGGTGTTACCAAGTTCTCTTCCTCTCCCCCAACCCACTTATTATTAGGTGCCTGATCTCTTGTGGGGTTTGTAATGGAATTCTATTTTGAGAAGGAATTTTAGAAGGGAGTGGCTTTGAAGATTATTTCCTATGAGCATTTCCTGTGAAAGGGCAGTACCTAAGAAAGTGGGGGAATATTTATTAGAGATGTGAACAAAGGGTTGCACAAACCTGGTATAGTTGGTAGCACTGAAGGCAATGTGGCAAGGATAGTTTTCTAGCCCTATCATTTAGGAAATATGCAGAATCAGACTCATCACCACCCAGATTTTGCCAGAGGAGTGAGAGAGGTCTCCTGGCAGCAGAAAGTTTGGCTAGCCTGGAAACATGGGGTACAGAATTGCAAATTATTCTTTGCTTTCTACTCCTGGAGTAGCAAATCCAAGAGTGTTACTGTGGAAGGGACATTGCTAGAACAAGCAAGAAATATGATACTTCATTGCCTCTTTTCAGCAGCTTTCACTGATTGGACAGCTATGAAAGTCTGGTTGGAGTTTAAATTGGTTTGTCCATGAAGATCTTCATACCAGCACCTGCCTCAGCTGAGAACTGAATCCGCAGTGAGGTGCAGAAGTCTTATGGACACAGACACCTTAATTTAAATGAGAGTTAGGATTTGGGGTGATAAAGGAGCCCAAGATAATGGGCCTCCAACTCCCCTTGAATGGGAGTTCATCACCTCACTCTCTTAGGATCCATTAACATTTCCAACCTGCATTTACACAAGGCTGAAATATTAGAATCTGGTAAAGAACAGAAATGTCTTATTTACAATTTGAATGTTGGATTTAATAATTTTAAGTTTTTGATTGCTCTAACAGGAACAGATACCACAAATTACCTTGTGGTATTTTGATGACCCAGTCAGCATGGAGTCAAATTCTGCTTTTAGTTTTGCTGTTGCAAATCAGCGTATTTTCACTGAACTCAGTGAAGATTTATGTGAATGTAGTTGAAAATTAGCATTTGGTTCATGTTATAAGTTGATTTTCATAGTCAAGAAAGATTCAGCGCATCACAACTTCTTAATTCACAATGAAAGATTAAATGTTTGTTTTTGAAGATCTGAATGACCCCAAACAATTTTTTTTTTGGTCCAGAGACCAGAGTCAGGGTTTCTGTAGGGATGAAACATTATTTGGGGGTAGGGAGGACAGAGGGAAATGCCTGTGAATTTTCAGAACAATTGTTGACTCCTTACGCTTGTATGTGGTTTTGA